ATTCTTTTTCTCACATTCTATCCACTTTTAAGATCGTTAACGATGATCGATGCGGAGAGGATGGATGAATGGCGCTTTTTACGTAGCGCCATGTGGCAAATTGGAATCGTTTAAGGGGCAAGTTCAATTGGGTTAAATCAACTCGGGGCAAAGTTTTGAATCTAAATTACTGGAACTCCGGGATCAAGATTTCGTCGCTATTTCGAATCCATATTTTACTTGACGAGGGAATGAAGACTATCTTCGGGTTCGCTGGATGATCAAAGCGTGAATACCGATGTAGAAGATAAGTCGACTTTTCAAAAGACGACTGCAAAGTAACAGTGAAGACGAAGACGGGAGAGAGAGAGAGAGAATAACCACCGACTCGGATGATTAAATATTTTGATAATTATGGTGATATCAAGAGATCTCAAAGTATAGAAGAAGAAGACGTATACGTTTGGGAATAGTCGAGATTCTAACCGGTTTTCTTTTCGCCGGAGGAACTGCGAGAAGGATGTTCTCTATAACTTTCAATCGACTTGGTGATTCCGTGAATCGCACGAATATTTCCACGAAATTTATATTTCGAAATTTTATCTTTTGGATCAATATCACAACGATATAGAATAGTATCGAAGCAGAATTAGATTAGATTGGATAAATTAATCCATGTAAGAATAATTTTTTCCATTAAAACAAGTTCGATCGAACTCTTTCCCCCCCCCCTTTTTTTTTTATCTACCACACCAATTTTCAACAACAATGGAAACAAGCGTAAAATTGTGCTAACCGTTCTGTAATTGAGAACCAAAATAACCAGCAAGTCTATTCTTCTCGAAATTGAGTTTATATTTTGATGCACGCTATTTTACCATTCTTTCTTTCATTGTTCTATCTCTTTCGTGAAATATTTTTATTACAATTTTTCAATCGAAACCGAACAAATCTTCCCCTATTTTCCTTTTTTCTTTCTTTCTTTTTTTTTTTTTTTGACCAACAATTTTTCATTCTAAACAATGCAATTTCAAATTTTACATTTTGTTCGATTTTAAGTTGGGAAAGATAGTTTTAGGAAATTGTTTCTTTTCTTTTTTTTTTTTTTTTTGAAATCTCACATTACGAAAACAGCCATCTTTTTCGAATAGTTTGTATCGAAATGGAGATAAAAATTGCAGGCAGAAAAAGGAATAAAATTATCGAGAAGATGAAATCGATTATTTACAAATATTTCTATTGTGATTAATTAATTAATTTCACGTAAAAAAAAAAAAATCTATTGTATCTATCGTATTGAGAAATAATCAATCTTGTTCCCAAGTATTAATCCGAGAAAAAGGATCGCAATTTCCTTTCCCCTGAACAGCTCGAAACCTAACCAAATAAACTTCGAATCGAACCATAAATTGCCAATAAAAGCGGGGAAAAAAGAAAAAAAAAAAAAGAAAAGAAAAGAAAATAAAAAAATTCCGATAAACCGAAAAGCCACGAAGCTATTGTTTGGTTATCGATAATCACCGAGCAACGTGCCTCGACCGATTCCCCTTTTAAATTACTTAATTCTCCTCGACTCGACCTATAACTTTATTCGAAGAAACTTCCTTCCTTCCTTCCTTCCTTCCTTCCTTCCTTCCTTTCCTTTTTCAAGTTTAAACCGAAGAAATTCGAGCGCGACTCGAGACGAAACGAAAAATCGAATTTCTATTAGATTCCCGGAAGGGGCGCGCAAAGTTACGCCCCTGCTCTCTGCCACTTCACTCATCGTTCACATTTCCTTTCCCGAATCCTTCTTATTCGCGGCATTATCATAATGCCATCGGCCGCTACGTGACAGGAAAGACGTATTATCGCCCCACCCCCCATCCTTATCGTCCCTCCTTAAAACGAACCTGAATTAACCGCGTTACTCCCCCGCATCTCGTTCGAGTCTCGCTTCGACCAACTCCCTTTCAACTTGATAGCGGACAACAACTCAAAGGAAACGACAACAAACAGACTTCTCAATCGACGAAAGGATAATCGTTCCTTCCTTCCTCGTCCTTAAATTCCTAAATCATCCGTATAAAAAAGGGGTGAACAATCATTTCCATTTCATAAAGAAATTCAACACATATGCTCCTTTATCACTACGCTGCCCCAAATCTGGCTTATCCTACCGAGCCAGCGCAATTCCCCGAGAGATCCGCCCCCAATTTTCAAGTAAGCAAGCAAAACTCCCTGTTCGATGCCATTTCGTTAACTGCCGCGCGGACGAGACTCGACAACTTTCCTCCCGGAAATAACTATCCTGGCTCGCCTATGTATACACACATATATACACACGATATATTAATAAATATAATATAAATATTTTATATTAATATTATTTTATATATGATTATAAATATATTAATAAACAAAACGAGGAGGAGGAGGAGGAGGAAGGCAGGCTTACATCGGTGGTTGCAAGAATTTTCAAAGAGTTTCCCCCTCGGCAACGTCTGAACGCGGTGAATTCCTGTCGGCGGCTCCCACAGGAACGAGAACGGAAACGGATGGTTGGCAGGACGCCAGACGACACCTCTCCAACTTCTTTCTACACGCGTGTAGACGTACACACATTAGGGCGCTGCGTCTCTCTCTCTCTCTCTCTCTCTCTCTCTCTCTCTCTCTCTCTCTCTCTCTCTGTCCAATAATTCTAACTCGCGGATTAGTTGGTTAATTAGAGCAGGGGTTGGGACTTGATTATAGTCCCGGCTACTCGATACGGGCCCATGTCGCTTAGTCTTCCATTTCTGGATGGAAGAAGCGGCCAACTGTTGTTATTTGTTTCAACCATTCGTTTTCCATCCCATCCAGAGGTGACTGCCACGCGTGTTTCTAACGAAATCTCTTTCAGGCCATGCTGTGTCAAGTGTATTTCATTACTTTTGTTGATATTTTAGTAATGCGAGTCTGATGGTCGCAAAAGTGATGTCTATTGCGTTTGTTTCCATCATTACTGTTCGCGTCCGTGATAAAAAGTATTGATAATAGTAATTGTATTGATAATAGTATTGAATAGTAGTATTTATATAGTATATTTTGGATAATTTAATTTGGATAATTTGGATTATAATTTGGATAATGTGAATGCCCTTCGACTAGTCGTAACAAATGTACTTTTTAGTTGTGGATTGTATATAAATTCTCATAGTGTCCAATGAACAGAGCATGATATATTCATAAACTACCTAATTGTCGTGTCACCATGAGACTCGTGATACCCCAAAATTAGAAGATTTAGAGAATTATTAGCTGCAAAATTGTTAGGATTATCTGAAAATACAACAGAACCTTGTCAAAACATAATATCGCCGTTCGGAAAAATAATTCTGAGTATTAGACTGGTATGCAAATTATGTTATTCGGATAAAAGACGACAAACGGGCCGATCAAACGCACGAAGAAATTTAAAAAAGACAACAACTTTTTGTCCAAATCTCAGCTTTGCACAGAATGTTTTAAAATTTTACATTCAAAATAGTTTTTATAATAAATTATTTTTTAATTACTTTTATAACAATTTAATAGTTTCATTACACCCTGCGGAATATCTTTCCAAATTCCTGCAAAGATCGTTCATAAATAGTCAAATAATTGTATTTGTGTATTTTCGTGGAAAATATTCGCGCAACAGCTGTTGCATTGTGGCGAATTGTATTAAAAAAGAAATAGTTTGAACAATAATCAAAGAGAGAGAGAGAGTACGTTTTACATAAACGTTGATCGTCCCTGCAAAAGCTATCTTTTCTAGCTTGTCTCTACGTAAATTCGTCTGATGACAAATTGACAAATTGGAAAAGAAACGAGTATTGTTACAATTGTTACACAACTTTTCGAATATGACTCGCGTTATACATCGTGAGATATTTGGACAATATTTGTCAGAAACTTCACAGTCTAGTCTAGGGGAAGACGTCCCCTATTGTTCGAGGAAACGAGCAAGTTTGGAAAAAGAGAGTTTGGAAGGAAGTGGAAATAAGAAAGCAAGGGAGGAGGAGGGGGAGGGGGGGAGCAGAGAAGGAAAGACGGGGCAGTTGACCGATAACGCCTTCTCGAAGAGGGGGCGATAAGACGGAGCAGGTCGAAGAGGAGATGCAAAGGAAAGCGGATTTTCTTCAACCGGCGCGAAACGATTCCCTTCCAAACGGGTGGCAATGGGACCGTTTCTTTCAAGGTCAATCGGCCTTTTTTGCGACTCGTCGAAACGCGCAGCGATCGGATGGACGAAACGCGGCCGCGGCAAAAATGACCAGACACAAAGGATCCTCCTTTGTGCGCGACTGTCGAGCGTAGACAGCCGACGCAAAGCGCGTTCTTTCGCCCTGATGATAACCTCGCAAATTTTGTCAAAGCGCAATCCTTGTTGTTGTTGTTGTTGTTGTTGTTGTTTTTAGCGCGATGAATTTCGACGATCAATTTTAACCAGCAAAAGTTTGTATTTATATATTTCTCTCTCTCTCTCTCTCTCTCTCTCTCTCTCTCTCTCTCTCTCTCTCTCTCTCTCTCTCTCTCTCTCTCTTTCTCTCTCTGTCTCTGTCTCTTTCTCTGTCTCTTTCTATCTCTATCTCTGTCTTTGTCTCTGTCTCTGTCTATGTCTCTGTCTTTGTCTGTCTCTGTCTCTTTCTCTGTCTTTGTCTCTTTCTATCTCTGTCTTTGTCTCTGTCTCTGTCTGTTTCTGTCTCTCTCTGTGTCTGTCTCTCTCTGTCTCTGTCTCTGTCTCTGTCTCTGTCAAATTATTAGAAAATATTAGATAAATTAAATGGACAGTAAAAAAAGAATAAGAAATGGTGAAAAAGCGAAAATTTATTCTTAGCACCTTCCATTGAGAGTAGTTCTTGTACGCGTGTCACATTATAGTTTTACTTCGAGGCTCACGATATCGGGTAAATCGTATTCGTATAGAAGGGAAGCGTGACTTTTGTATTTGAACGCGATCACGATTCGATTATCTAGAAATCTATACGGGCGAAGTATGGAAGAGGGAATTCACTTACTCGTTTCGAAACCTTCCCCTTGAATCGAGTTTAGATCGAATAGCGACGGGCGCAGAGTGGGGCGCACGAGGATCCATAACAACACACCATTCTACGAATTCTGAAACAAAGAGAATTAAGTGATTTTTAACGATTCATTTTTGTCGAAAGACTCGAGATTATCATCTATAATCGTTGTAACCAGTTTAATAATAAATATTGTATCACTTTTACCATCTCTCTCTCTCTCTCTCCGACAAATTGAATTTCTCCATCCTTCATCGGGAGATTCCTCCCCTCCTTTGATAAACCGAGAATCAACCCGAAACGTCGTCGAGTACTTTCACAACCGCTCGTGTCACGGTCTTACCACGACACGAAACCACCTACAATCCGGGTAAACGTTCCAAATGTCTCCAAAGTGGCCGGAACACAGCGAGGCGGAAAGCGTCAAAGGAAACGTGTCGGTTCGAAATGATTCGAGGCGGGGGAACAAAGGAGGGGAGTGGAGGGGAGTGGAGGGGAGGGGAGGGAAGCACAAAGCCCAGACCAGTTTTTAAAGGGGTTAAGCGGACCGGCATACCCCTCTCCCCGATGTTGTCGTTGGATAGAACCTACGACTTCGTCCAATCCGCTTTCGCGATTTTCTCGATAATAAATTTCGCAAAATAAAATAATAATAATTTCGTGTACTACGAGAAGATATTTCTTTTTTCCTTTTCTTTTTTAAAGAAACGATAATTTAAAAAAAAAAAAAAAAAAAAAAAAAGATTGGTCGAAAAAGAAAAACAGGGTAAATATTTTTCACGAAAGGAAGACGGATATGTTTGTTCTCTTTCTCGTTTTTTTTTTTTTTTTTTTTTTTTTTTTTTTTTTTACCGCGTAATGTTTCATTGGTTTTCTCGCCTGTCTCTTCCTCTCTTTTTAAATCCAATCGCGGCCGAGGCAGGGCGAACGAGTGAAAAAAAGCCGCGGAACTAAAAGGGAGTGATCAATAGAACGGGGATGAAAAATCGCGCAAACTTCGGGACACGCGTTCCACGGGCAACAACGGAACGAGGAAGATAACACGCGTGGTGGGACGTGCAATGGTGGTGGTGGTGGGAACGAAACGAAAACGGGTCAACTGGTCTCCGTTGAAAAACGTGTAACTTTGGTCGGATGCATAATTACGCCGCTATGAATCCTAGTAATTTTTGCATCTGCGTACGTGTTAGCCCCCTGTTTAAAATCATGCTCCCCCTCCTTCCTTCTCCCGTGTGGTTGAATTCATATTTTTAATTGCGTTGACAGGCCAACGCGAAAGTAGCGGAGGCCACGTGTTTGCGTTTCTAAATTACTGAAATTTTTTTTTTCAAACAATTTTCAAATGTAAAATACGATTTCGAGGAATTGAAAAAGAAAAATTTTTTTTCTAGAGTTTTTAAAAAATACTTTAAAAGAGTAAGTAAGTCGAGATTCGTAAGAGCACAATTATCATCTCTTTTGATTATCATCTCGTTTTGAAATAATTTTTTTCAATTTTATTTTCCAACCTTACAACGATTCGTCCTAGCTAAACTCGTAGTTTAAAATTTAACGTCGATAAGCTGCTTTCAATTTGATAAATAATTCCAGTTGACTAAAGTTTAACGCTATTAACCGGCTAAAGTTTGACAGAAAATTTGTTCGCGCGGAGTTACTCAAAATTTTATCGATCATTTTTCCATCGCACGCTATCAACACACTTGAAGGAAGAAATTTAATTGGCATCTCGTTGTAAAAAATAACAAGTGCTAATTCTATCAAATATCGAAATAAATATATTAATTTATTCTTATCAGACTTTTTTTCCTTCCATAAGAGAGACAGTGGTACCATATGAAAAAAAAAATTAAAATAAATACAAATTAAAAATATCTCGATCGATGCCTATATCTGCAATTTTTCGTCTTCGATCTAATTTATTTTTTCCTTCCTTCCATGAAACTTGAGAAACATTGATAGTCACTCGTCACTCAGATGAAAAAAAAAAAATTAAAATAAATACAAATTAAAAATACATATCTCGATCGATGCCTATATCTGCAATTTTTTGTTTTCGATCTAATTTATTCTTATCAGACTTTCCTTCGTTCCATACGAGAAACAGTGATACTAGATGAAAAAAAAAAATTAAATACAATTAAATACAAATTAAAAATACATACTTCGATCGATGCCCATATCTGCAATTTTTTGTCTTCGATCTAATTTATTTTTTCCTTCCTTCCATGTAACTTGAGAAACATTGATAGTCACTCGTGCCAGATGAAAAAAAAAAAATTAAAATAAAAAAAAAATTAAAATAAATACAAATTAAAAATACATATCTCGATCGATGCCTATATCTACAATTCTTCGTCTTCGATCTAATTTTCTCTTATCTCTCCTTCCTTCCATACGTGAAATAAACGAGAAACGGATTAACAACGCGAGACAGTAGAATCACTCGTGTCACATTGAAAAAAGAAAAAAAGACACGAATACTTGATCTGCGCTTAACAGCGCAGAAATCTCGGCTACGTTTCAACCGTATCCTCGAAGGAGCTGCTAATCTCGACCTCGCAGCGACACGATGATCCACGATGGATTAATACACGACACGCCATCGTCTCTTCCATCCTCCTTTCTCGCGAGAAAATTCCCGTTTAATTTTCCCCCTTCGTGGCGGGGGATGAGAAAAAGCAGGGGGTGGAGCGCGAACAAGGAAGGAAAAAAGAAAAAAGGGGAAAAAAAGGAAGGGACACGCCACGAAGGATGAGCCAAGCCAAGCTACTGTACTACAGCTACAGGTACTAATTGCTTTAATGAGAAAGTGGGCGCGGCCGTTTCTATAAAATTTCATTGTGAACGGGCAAGGAACGGCGGGGAAGCCAGCTGGAAGCCGGACCAGTTAGCCGTGAGTAAAAGATGGCCACGTGGTCGGGTGAAAAGGCGAAGAATGAAGGTAGGAAGGGGACCTGGAAAAGGAAGGCTGAATGCTGAAGGCGAAAAAAAAAGAAAAGGATCGTTCCAACATCCGTTCCAACCATCAGGAATTCGAAGATCGATTCTGACAGGTGGTGTTCACTGTTGGGTGGAAAGAAGCCTCGTTGGATGAAGCAATATTTTCACGCGCATTTTTCTCTTCTGCGCGTAGAAGATGATCCAAAACGACGATTAATCCAGAGAATTCTAACGTGTCGATGCGATACAAAATTTTTCTTTTTATCTCTCGTAATAGATTAATAACTATTTTAAGTTTAACTTATAAATGTAATTTCGTATTTCAAGCAATCGAGTCATAGTCTTGAATGATTAATCCTAACGTAACACTTTGCGAATAGGTGTTCACTGTTGGGTGGAAAGAAGCCTCGTGAATATTTTCACGCGCATTTTTCTTGATCCAAGAAAGAAAATGATCCAAAACGACGATCCAGAAAAAACGTTGAATCCAGAGAATTCTAACGTGTCGATGCGATACAAAATTTTTCTTTTTATCTCTCGTAATAGATTAACTACGATTTTAACTTATAAATGTAATTTCGTATTTTGAGCAATCATAGTCTTGGATGACTAATCCTAACACAATGAAAATAATTTTAACGATGTTTTGAATATAGATTATTAGCTCTTCCACCTTAGCATGTGATGTCGCAAGAATAGATTTGTTCGATCTTGAAATTCTGTTCCACTAAGTCAAAGTTCCAAAAATTTTCAACGGGATATTTTTGCTTTTAACGGGATATTTTTTGCGATACAAAATTTTTCTTTTTATCTCTCGTAATAAATTAATAACTATTTTAACTTATAAATGTAATTTCGTATTTCGAGTAGTCGAGTCATAGTCTTGGATGATTAATCCTAACACAATGAAAATAATTTTTAATGTTTTGAATATTCAGATTATTAGCGTAGTGATGTAGCGTGTGATGTCACAAGAGTAGATTTGTTGGATCTTGAAATTCTGTTCAACTAAATCAAAGTTCCAAAAATTTTCAACGCTTTTAACGGGATATTTTTTGCATTCGAAGGACGTTCGATCCCGACACCCGACGTGGAAGGAAAGGAATTTTCCATGCTTCCAGTCAACCATCGACGCCTTTCAACCGTCAATCAAACGGAGTTAACCAAACAGGGTTGGCGCCCTCCCTTAAATCTGTTTCATCCCCAAGCTCTATCTGGTAGTCGAAGCGCAGACTGCATTTATATTATTATTAGCGCGTTGGAAAGAGGAGAAATAAAAGCGGATGACTTTTCTCCGTCAAAAATTTAATTTCGCCTCCTTTTCATTCTATCATTTGTGTTTCCCTTTCAATCTTGACCTGTACTCTACTCTCGAGCGCGAAAGTGCTTGTCCCTCCCTCTTTCCTCGTTTTTACCCCCCCCCCCATTACCTTTCCTGCCCTGTTTTCCTCCTCTTCGAAATCGCATTTTTCCCAGGGCCAATTTTTCAATTTTTCATCAGTTGTAATACTACTCGCTCTTCGCCCTTCCTCTTGCTCGTTATTCCTCGCCACCCCTTTAACTCGATATTTTCGTTGCATCCCTCAACGTTTAGTCCCTCGCTTGTTTCCTTTCCCTCTCTGCTTCCTTTTTCTTTTTTCCAAACTCGCTCGTCAAACTATTTTTTACTACTCTCTACTTCTTTTAATCGGAATTATTCGGAAATTATCTGACTTGTGTCTTTTTGTTAGCTGTGCAAATAACTCCTTTCCTTTTGTTTCTAATAAAATATAATAATAAAATATAAAATAGATAAATTTAATAAAATATAAAATAAAATTCAAGATTTTATTACGTAAATCGAGAGATGTCTCGTGGCTTCCAGTCTCTCTGTCTATTTTTTTTTGGGTTGAATTTTAGTCCAACGATTCCTCCGACTCATCGTCGTCGAACTTTCTAGGTATTCATTCGAACGATCCTCGTCTTTCAAATTAAAATTTCCGGATGTAAATCTTTGTTACTTTTTGTAGCTTCTCAGTAACTTCTACAGCCAATTTCCTAAGCTAGAATAACAACGCTATATCGCTCAAAATTGCAGGAAACTTAGACTCGTCGCGACTCTTTTTAAAAAGAATATTGTTTCGAATGGCGGGAAAGTAGTTCGAATTCAAAAAT